AAGAAACTCAGTATGAAAGGGACCTATCTCAAGTATAATAAAGTCTATATGTAATAAACTCTATAGGTTATTATATTTATGTTGCATTATATTAAAATATATTAACTGGGGGAAAACAAAGAATTTTCACTAAGAGAGGAAGAAAACAAAGGTGTCTGTTTTCTCTACTTTCATTCAAAATAGTACAACCATCCCATTCCCTTTTAAAAATATTTTTATTGATTCTTTGAGAATTTCATACAATGTATTTTTTACCATATTCAGACCCCCCCATCTCCATCCCAACCATGCTACTCCCCCACTTCATGTCCTCCATTTTTTATTGAGTCTGCCTCAATAAATAAAGTACAAGAGAGATGGTGAATGATTACCAACAGCAACCTCTGACCTCTATATGCATGTACACATAGATGCATATGCACTCACACACATTCATGCTCACACACATGCAAAAACATCCATATACACACAATATACATACACATGAAAAATGGGGAAACAATTTCAAACACTCAAGAGAAATTGAAGCAGACACTGTGTACTGATTAGTTTTTTGTTTTACTTAGTTTTAACTGTCAGCTTGACACAGCATAGAATCACTGGGGAAGAGTCTTTAATGAGTAATTACTTAACTCAGGTTGGCCCTTGGGCATGTCTGTGGGGGAGAATCTTGATCGTTACTTGACCCATCCTACTATAGGTGGCTCCATTTCCTGTGAGGGGATCCTGGCTGTATAAGAATGGAGGGAGCTGGCTGAGAGCAAGCAAATTGGGAAGGATGTGTGTATTCTTTCCCTGCTCTTGATTGTGGGTGTGATATGATCAGCTGATTCAAGCTCCTACCACAGTGACTTCTCTGCTACTGGTTAACTGTAACCTGGGATGGAAAGTACAATAAACCCCCTCCTCCCTTATGCTGCTTGGTGTCAGGACATTTTGTCACAGCGATAGAAATGAAGCTAGGATACACTGGAAGATGGAAGATCTTCACACTGCCAGACTAGGAGAATTGATTCGGTGAAACCAGCTATCTTACCAAAATCAATCCACAGATTCAATACAATCCCCAGCAAAATACCAACAGCATTGTTCACAGACAGAGAAATCATTCTAAAAGTCATTTGGAATCACAAAAGACCTCAGATAGCCAAAGCAATTCTGAGCAAAAGAGTAACACTGACTTGTCACAAGACTTGACTTCAAGTTATATTATAGGACCATAGCAATAAAAACAACACAGTAATGGCATAAAATAGGCATGTCAATCGATAGAACACAATAAAAGACCCAGACATAAACTCATGGAGCTACATCCGCCGGCTTTTTGACAAAGATGCCAAAAGTGCTCACTGCAGAAAAGACAGACTCTTTTACAAATGATACTGGGAAAATTAGATATCCACATATATGGAAAATAAAACTAGATATTTTATTTCTCTCTTTGTACAAGAATCAACTCCAAATGGATCAAAGGGCTTCATGTAAGATATGAAATTCTGAAAATGCCAGGGGTAAAAGTAAGGAAAATAGTTCAAGATACAAACAGAGGTAAGGACTTTCTGAATAGGACTCCAATCACTCAGGAAATAAAGCCAATTGTCCACAAATAAGACCTCATGAAATTAAAGACATTTGCCACCACATCCAGATCAATAAATATTTAATGTTCAATATCCTTAGTTATCAGGGAAATGCAAATTAAAACTACTCTGAGATTCCATCTAACTCCTGTCAGAATGGTTTTCATCAAGAAAACCAACGACAAAAAAATGCTGGTGAAGATATTGGGGAAAGAGGAACCTCTAGCTACAGCTGGTAGGAATATAAACCGGTGGAGTCATTGTGGAAACTGGGATGGAAGTTTCTCAAAAGAACTGAAAATAGGGCTGGTGAGATGGCTCAGCACGTGGCACTTGCCCCCAAACCTGATGACCAGAATTTGATTACAGGGACCCACATGGTATAAGGAGAGAACTGAATCCCTCAAATCGTCTCCTGACCTCCCATGTATGTGTGTGTACTCACATACACACACAATAAATATTTTACGTGTATGAGTGTTTTGTCTCATTGTATGTAAGGGCACACATGTTGTACAAAGCCCTCAGAGGCCAGAAGAGGGTGTCAGATCCCCCAGAAATGGAGTTATAGATGGTTGTTAGATGCCATGCCAGTGCTGGGACCCGAACCCAGGTCTTCTGCCAGAGCATCCAGTGTTCTTTTCTGCTGAGCCATCTCCCCAGTGCTGTAATAAATTTTTAAAAGAAAAAACTAAAAAGAGAACAATCATATGACCCTACACCACTCTTGAGTGTATACCCAAAGGACTTAAATCAGCATGACACAGAGATATTTGCACATCCATGCTTGTTGCTACGCGCCTTACAATAGCTAAATTATGGACTCATACTAGATGTTTATCAACAGATAAAGAAGATGTGATACATATATTCAGTGGAAATTTATATAGCCATAAACAAAAATAAAACCATAATATTTACAGGAAAACAGAACTGAAAAATAATTATGTCAAGTCAAATAAGTCAGACTCAGAAAGACAAATATGCAAAATCTAGATTTAAAATAATGTGTGTGGGGGCTGGAGAGATGGCTCAGCGGTTCTTTCAGAAGACCCGGGGTTCCAATCCCAGCACCCACATGGCAGCTAACAACCGTCCAGAACTCCAGTCCCAGGGGATCCGACAGCCTCTCCTGATCTCTGCGGGCATTGCATGACACAGATGCACTTACCTACATGTAGGCAATACATGCATACACATAAAATAAAAATGATAAAAAATTTTTAAACTTTTAAAAAATTATGTGTTTACATATATGTGTATTTGTAGGTCACAAACCATTACGGAGATCATGAGAGGGAGGAAAGAGCTCTGAAGGGATATCAGAAATAGAGCCATGGATGCATGTCATAAAAAAGCAGAAATTGGGATTAACTGGGGAAAGAAACCAGCTGGAGGGAGAGAGGGATCACCAGGGGTCAGTGGGAGACGAATGAATGAGAAGTATAGTGACACGTATGTATGAAGACACCACGATGAAACCCATTACCATCTATGCTAACCTAAAAAAAAATCAAATAAAAATGTCATGAGGGAACCAGCTTTGTTTTTATTTTTGAAACAGTGTCTCACTATAATTAATTGCAGATGACATCTGAGACAAGCTTGCTAGATTAGAGAACAAAGTAATATCCTAGATAGGATAATAACAAAAGTATAATCCTTGGGTTATCTTTCAGTAGACAGAAATGATTTTGATCTGTGCTGAACAAAAATTTTCAAGTTTCCAGGCATGGTGGCACACTCCTTTAATCCCAGCCCTCAGGAAGGAGAGGCAGGTGGATCTCTGAGAGATAGAGGCCAGCCTGGTCTACATAGTGAGTGCCAGGTCAGCTGGGAGTACAGGGAGATCTTGTTTCAAAAAGATCAAATTTTTTTTCAAGTCAATACATATTTTCACAAAGTCTGGGGCTTGATCAATAATAAGTAGAATGTTAGTTGAAATATATTCCCTCACAGATATAAGGAGGCCTAGAGTAGTTGTCCTAGACAAGATTCTCAAAAGGCATAGCAAGATGTATAGACATCTGTTTTTCTAAATTTTGGACATTTTTCTGTTTATTTTTTTAATATTTTATTTTTTATTTTTATTTTTTACATGTATGAGGGTATTGCCAGCATGGATGTGAGTGCACCCATGTTGTGCAATGCCACGGAGGTCAGAAAAGGGCTTTGGATTCCCCTGGAACTGGAGTTAAGGATGATTCGTAGCCACCATGTGGGTGCTGGGAATCAAACCCAGCTCCTCTGCAAGAGCAGTCAGTGCTCTTAACCACTGAGCCATCTCTCCAGCCCCTGTATATTTTTGTGTGTGTGTATGTTATATGTGCTTGTGGGGAAGTGCATGCCACTGTGCACATGTGGTCAGAGGACAACTTCAGGTGTCAGCATGAGGACAATCTCAGGTGTCAGTATCAGATCAACTTCCCACGTCAGTATGAGGACAACCTTGGGTGTCAGTTCTTGCCTTCTGCCTTTTTTGAGACAAGGTCTCTTTGTTGTTTTTAGGCATTGTGTATACCAGGCTGTCTGGCCCACCAGCTTCCAGGGATGTTACTGCTTTCCCTCCCATCTCACCACAGGACCCCTGGGATTATAGATGCACGCTACTGCATCCAGCTATATCTGTGTTTCTGGAATTCAAACTCAAGTCCTCACACTTACCCAGCAAGCACCTTATCTTCTGAGCCATCCTCCAAAGTCCCTGGATGGTTTTCTTGTTTTTTCCTCTTTTGTTTTTATTTTTGAAACAGTGTCTCACTATATAACTGTGGCTGGCCTAGAACTCAATATGTAAACCCAGTTGACTTCAAACAGAGCTCCACCTGCCTCTGTGTCCCAAGCACTGGGATTAAAGTTGTGGGCCACCACGCCTGGCCTTAGATATTTTTTCTAAGTAGATATAAATTCCAAAGAATTTTTTCCTCTAAAGCTAAAGGATATTAAAACATTTACAGATGGATCTGATGTCAAATTTATATACCTCTATCATGATATACAAGTTTACATTTGTAATTAGTAGCTCCTGGTCAACTGTAAACAGGCACAAGATAGTGTCCACCAAGTCTAACCCTGCTCAGGGATCTGGAATAGTTCCCCACTCCCACCCTTTGGTCAGATTTAAAGATCCAATGAGTATTCTAAAAGGAAGAATCCTTGAAATATTTATTCTCTTTGACTGAATACCTATGGGACAGTTTGGAAAGCCCCAAGTCACCTTTGTTCTTTACTTCTTGTATTGTCAGCCTTCTTCCCTCTTTCATAATTAGCATGTTGAGTATTATGTAGCCAAAGAATAGCATTCTGAGCTGTGCTCTGGGACTTCCTGATCCTCTTACTATTATAAATACCAGGGCAGGCAGGGAGTCAGGGAGCAGTGGGCAGAAATCCTCAGGCCAGCTCTGCCTGTCCACCAGGAGGATGAAGGGTACCACAGCTGTCCTCTCCTTCCTCATTCTTGTGACTGTCCTTGGATCCCAGGCCAGGATCATGCAGGGTGAGTCCAGTGAACTTTCTCACCAGTAGCCAGATCTATGGTAACTGCTAGAGAGAGGTCCAGAAGGGCAGCCCTGAATATCAAGACTATTTTCTATTCCAATATGGAATATACTTAGAAATAAAATCAGGGTATAGACTGTCTCTATCTGTAGTCTTTGGAAAATTGTACACAGATGACTTGGTCCCATTTGGAAAAATAATTGTTTTTCCCTTTCATAGAATACTTTTATAACTTCTCTTAGTTAACATTCTTGCTAGATCTGAAGAACCATAATTATATTGCAAATTTGTGGAAATAAAAAGTTTTATGATGCTAGAACTATTATATACCAGTTAGTATAAAGCCAACATTTTTCAAGGGTCAACCAAGCAAGTGACTCACTCACCTAAGGTCACTCTCTCATTTGAACCTGTGATATTTTAATTTATGGCGGTTACTAGGTGTCAGCACAGAGAGGTACTGTGAAAAAGAGTTTATCACTTAAATTTCTGGGAGTTACACCAAGCCCCTAATGGCTATGGTGAATATCAAGTTTGGGTCAGATGGCACAAGGGATAGAAATGTGATCGTCCATATCCAGTCTATTACTGGGAATTCTGGAAAAGTCATGGCATAACACAGGGCACGGTTGAGAGTTACTAGTCTGAATAAGTCCAACAGACTTTGGATATGTGAGTGGCCTGTAATTGACTAATCACTTTAGGAAGATTAAGTCAGGGAAAATACAAGCCTGGTATGAGATAAGGGTGGTGACCACACAGAAAGCACAGCATTAGTTGGTTTGAATCCTTTGCTGTCTCTAAGAAGAGTCACCCTGTAGCCCCAGCTGGCCTGGAACTTGCTATGTAGACTAGGCTGGCCTTCATCTCACAGAGGTCTGCCTGCCTGTGCCTCCCGACTACTCAGAGTAAAGGCATGTGCCACCAAACCCGGTGGCATGAGTAATTTTATATAGCTTTGTGTATTATGATTGCTAGGCTCCTTTTACAAATGAGAAAATGGAGACATAGAAGCCTTCACTAATTTAAGACTATACAAGTAGAAAGTAGAGAAACTAGATTGAATTAGGAACTACTTAAGAAAAGGCAAGGCTACTTAAGATTTATTTTGGAAGCACACCCACATCACATGAAGCATGCTAACAAGTATCCACTTACCTTATTCCATATGATTCTTGCGTAACTAAGAAATGATAGAAAGATTAGTTGCCTCTTCCTAATTAGCATAATACAAGTTCACGATCTTTTATCTTTGGGGTTAAATGCATTTGGGGATGAAGAATTTTTCTGTATTAAAAAAAGTAATACATTGTTGGGTATTACTTAACATCTCTAGTGACTTGTGGAGACCATCCTTTAATCAGCACACATGGGCATTTATATAAAGTTAAGACTCTAAGTAGCCTCACTTTGTGCCATCTGATGAGTTGATGAAAATCTTGCTATTTCCAAAATCCTATAGATTACAGAAATATGCAAAGAACTGTGGGCTGAATCACCGTAGGTTGACATTTGATTAACTTATCCATGTTAGATTTGCAATTTGTTTTCTAGTATTTCACAGTCAGAATATTTTCATATCTTTTTTAATTCTGGCTTTTTAAAAAATATTTTATTTATTATTTTTATTTTATGTGTATGCATGTATTGCCTGCATATAGGTAAGTGCACCCGTGTCATGCAATGCCTGCGGAAGACAGGAGAGGCTGTCGGATCCCCTGGAACTGGAGTTATGCACAATTATTAGCTGCCATGTGAGTGCTGGGATTCGAGCCCAGGTCTTCTGCAAGAACAATCAGTGTTCTTAACTGCTGAGCTATCTCTCCAGCCCATGTTTTCATATCTTAAATGTTTCAAAAGATCCAAGAAAAATCTCAAGTCACCAAAGGGGACAAATGGAACTAGAGACAAACTGTAGAACCCAGATATGTGATGGTGGTCGAGCATCAGAGTCTGTCTGCCTTGGCGGGGGGGCGGGGGGCGATGAGGGGAGATGCTGAGACAATGATGCCGCTCTGCACTCTGCTTCCTCCAAACACAGAGGCAAGAGAACTCCTGAAGGCAAAGCATCAACTTGAAATTCCAGTGTTGTACTTAGGTAAATATTTCATTACACATGTTGAAAAGCACCAGGTAGTTACAGGTCAGCACTCTAGCTTCATCCTCTCTGATAACAAAACAGAAGGGGAGGATCCTGAGGATGGTGAATATCTCCAAATGACCAAGATGGGCCATGAGTACTCATTCCAATGATACCTTCTCCATGCCCACTTGATTGAGTCAGCTCACTTGGGGCAGAAGGTACCTGCAAGTGACTGCACATGCCTTCCTCTTCTGGAAACATGTTCCTGGCCCTGTTGTGGTTCACCGTGGGCTCATGGAAGGGTGTGGAAGAAGGAGATGATAGTGAGTGCAGGCTGAGGTAGAGGAAGCATCTCCCTGAGTCCTGGGCCTTTTCATCCTCCACGGGACCCTCCACTGTACTCTTAAGAGCAAAGACTTGGCCCTTGAGTGGCTCTTTCGCTTCCTATAGGAGTTCAAGATTCTTCTGACTGCTGCTTCTCCTACATGTCTCGAAGAATCCGCTGTTCAAACTTTGTAGATTATTTTCCAACCAGTGGTGGGTGCATTCATTCAGGTGTCATGTAAGTGTCAAGCTCACCCTCTGTATATTTGGGGAGAGGAAGCCTCCAGGGTCATAGAAGATCTACTAGATAGACCTACAGAAAAGCCCCATCCTTGGTGCCTGGAAATGGGGACAGGTGTCCTAACTAGGATACTTCAGGGTTTGGAGAGGAAGGGAGGAGATAAAGGAGACAGCAGGCAGAAGGCTGCCCAAGTCACTCCAAGAGTCACTAGAGAGTCCCAGACTGAGAAAGACTCGGGGAGGGTCTTGAGAGAAGAGGTAGGCCCTGAGCTATCTCTTGAAAAAAATCAAATTATTGGGGGAGGGAGGATGGAGCTCCCCTTCTGTTTACTGAAGACACCTCTGTAATATTACTTCTCCTTTTTTCCAGCTTTGTCACCAACACAGGGAAGCGTGTCTGTGCAAAGCCCAGTGATTTGAGAGTTCAGAAGTGCATGTTAGGCCTGAGGTCAAAGGCTATACAGAAAATTTGATTGAGAGGAAAGGGCATATAATGCCAGTCACCCCACTTCTCTCTCTCTTCCCCAAGGACCACATAGGAGGTTCTTAGCCTATATTATGTCTACACACACACACACACACACACACACACAAGTTTATGCTGTTCTGGTTTAAAGCAATACATCTAATCGATAGTATTTATATGATTTTAGCTCGACATAACTGCAGACATCTTGAATTTTAGCTATCATAATTATTGTAGAAGAACTCTATTGAGGTTTCCTGTATAGTTTACCAACAAATTATAAATGGGTAAAATTATCAATGTGATCTGTGGAGCTTTAGCATGAGACTCTGGTTATAGGAATGTACCTGGTTCTAATATTAGCTTAAGACAAGCCAGATACATTCAGCCAGAATGAAGTCAGTTTTGTCCTAAATCACGCATATGCCCTTCTAGTGAAGAGCCAACTGGTCTCACTGCCACCTGGGAGCATCTTTCCATCAGCAAATCCCCTAATAAACTGTACTCCATGCACCCTGAGGTCTGTCTCTCTTTCTTCAGTTTCATAGTACTGTGGGGCCAGTCCTCAAGGTCTGAAATCAAGCAGTTCAGGAGCAAGTATCTCCCTTGCTTTACTTGAATTTTAAGAGGAAAAGAAACTGAGAGAATCGCTAAACTTTGGATATTTTCTTCAAAATATCATAGCATAATTTTAAATTGCTCACAAAAAAATGAGTCATTCAAATGTAGACTGAATACATATCAAAGACGTATTTAACCCACTATTGAGGAAAACACTACACTGACTCAAAAATCTCTGGAGGGTGTCCAGTTCAATGGGGTTAGGGAGAGATAGGGGCCTCAGAAGCTAAGGAACAGAAGAGGCATCAGCTGGGAACTCGGGCTTGCCTCCTCCATGCAGTTCAACTGCTCTGCTAGTCTCTGTACTACTGTAATACCACTAGATTACAGAGGTAGTTAATGGCCAAAGACCGGCTCTTAAACACACATTTTGGGGTAAAAGGCAGCCTAGAGACTGCCTCTCAGTGAGCCAATGAAGAGAGTCGGAATAAGAAAAACTAGACTTTAATCCAGAGAGAAACAGAGGAAGAGCTTCAGAGACCAGGAAGTTAAAGGATCCAGAAAGAAGAGAATATGAAGCATCCCAATCATAGAAGTAACCCAGCCTAAGGAATTTTTGGTATTGATGCTTTCTGGGAGGGGTAGAGACAGTATCTTATAAGGATAGGACTCTTGGTGGGCCCAAGGCATGGACTCACACTGAAGGACATTTGGGGACACAAATCAGACCTTATAGGTCATATTATTTATGTAAGAGATTACTTAACTTGGGTGGGGAGCAGTGGGCAGTGCAGATAGGGGAGGGGATCTAATTAGATACCAACAAACTATATTGTATGAAAATCACAAAACTTCAATTAAAAAAGAAAAAAAAAGAAAAAGAGCAGAGTGTGGTGGCACATACCTTTAATCCCAGCACTTGGGAGGCAGAGGCAGGCAGATCTCTGTGAGTTCAAGGCCAACCTGGTCTACATAGTGAGTTCTAGGTCTGCTGGGGCTACAGGGAGACGCTGTCTCAAAAAAGACCAAAACAAGTAAAATTAAATTTTAAAAAAGTCTCAGTCTTACAGTTCCCCAGCAGGAGGAGGGGAAAGAGAAGCAGCTTCCAAAAGGTAAGCCAGACAAAAGCCAGGCAGCCCTACTGGCAGGATAGCCTATACCACTCACAGGTCGCAAAGCCAGTTGTGGGTTTTGCTAAGACAGTGATTTGTACAGTGGTGGGGCCAGTGGTGGAGCCAAATCCCATTTACTACATGCTTGGGAGGGCAGCAGTCAGGCACCATCTTGAGAAAAAAAAAATCTATTATTCAAACCCAAGGTAGCCTGGGGGCCTGAGATCAGGCAACAGCTACAGGTCAGGGACTCATAATGTGGCCTGCCACAGTCCCTCATTCAGGGGAGGGCTTGAGAGGCAATTATGGAGAGAAGGGCCAGACACTGACAAGTCAAAGGCTGGAGGTGGCAGGATACTGGCTCAGGCTGGAAAGTGCATAAAGGGAGATAGCCCTGGCGTTGGTGGCCAGGAACAGAGGACCAACTAAAAGTAATGCTGTATTTATAGCGCTGCGCCTGAAGCAGGTAAATCAAATCCTGAAGCTGGGTGCTATCTGTTGTTCAGTGCCACAGGGCCCAAGAGCTCTAGGATTCCAAGGGTTCACAAGATTCACACAGCTGCCTTTCTCCATCAAGGCAATTAGTTCTCAAGAGGTCTAAAAGGTATGAAGACAGGTCATCCTCTGGTACTAATCTCAGTGCTGTGCTTGCTTACCACATTTCCAATGCACTTGGGAGACACCCTCCAGATAAAACATTAATCACCGAGGGTGGTTAATCTGGCAAGTCTTGGTAAAGTGAGAGAATCTGTCCAAGTCACAGAAGGAAGACTAAGTATGGCCAGCAGAACCCCTGCTGTGCAAAGACTGGAAACTAAAAAGCTGAAGACAGCCCTGATGGACATCAACACTCTCATCCAATAAAGACAGCAACAGCCTAGACCATAGGAAAGACAGGAATCTACAAGCTCTACTGGACCTCTCCCATCTCTGATGGGGAAAAGAAATATAGCCAAGCATTTAATGTCACTTTTGTGTGTGTGTCTGATATTGTTTTATGACTAATTTTATACTTTGGAATAATACTCACCTTGTAGTGGTTTTATAAATGCTTACTGAAATTTGTGTTGACAAAAGACTCAAAATAAAATGGGGACTGTAATCTCAAGAAATAAATATCACAGTTATCTAGTGGAACATCTGTATGCAACTGCCTTGTTTGCTAAGGCACCTGCAACAAACCTGTTTAAAAATATTTTAACCCTGCCCTAAATATCTGCTTCTGCAAACATGCCTGCAGAAGAAATTTCTTTTCAGTGGTCTTAGGACACTAAGTACCTGTGCTAATAATCACATAGGCTGTTTGCCACAAATGCTGTAATGATGAGGGGGATCTATAAATTCTGTAAAGGGACTCAACCCAGTGCTCAAGATCTTTGGGAAGTAACTCTGCTTGAGTCTGCTAGCGAGAATAAATTTTCCCAATTTCTCCATGGGTCTCTTCATCCTTTGTGTGTGGCTGGTCCCGTACCTCAGTTTTCCAGTAACATCTCCATGCATATAACTCGAGTTTCTAATTTTTGAGGACCCAGAAAGTAGATGCTCCAGTATCTCATCTCTTCCCCCTGGTGATTCCCATTTTACTGTATGTTTAGCAGATTTTTACCTTATAGTACATTATATTTAATTTTTTTATTTTATGTATATGAGTGCTATATGCCTGCCTGTATGTAAGTGCACCTGTCTCATGTACTGCCCACAGAGGACAGAAGAGAGCATTGGATCCCCTGGAACTGCCGTTACTGAAAGTTATTAGCCACCACGTGGGTGCTAGAATTTGAATCCAGGTCCTCTGCAAGAACAGCCAGTGCTCTTAACTGCTGAACCATCTCTCTAGACCCTTATAGTACTTTAAAAAAATATTTTAGGCTGACTAGTAGGGACCCAGACCTTTGGAGACTGCCTGGGAAAGACTGACTCCTCTGCATGCTAAGAAACAGAAGTAACCTAAGTGTCCCTCAACAGACGAGTGAATAATGAAAATGTGGTACATTTACACAATGGCATTCTACTCTGCAGTAAAGAAAGAGAAAATCATTAAATTTGCAGGTAAATAAATGGAACTAGAAACAGCCATAAGTGAAGTAACACAGACTCAGAAAAACAAACAGTTCACACTCTCCCTCATTTGTGGATCCTAGCACCAAATCCTCATATGTGAATATATATCCTGATATAACTGCAGGAGCCAGGAAAAAGGAAAGGAATCAGGGAGGTAAGGGAAAAGAAAAGGCCTGAGAGAGAGGAACAGTAGGAAACAAGTGGTACCGAGGATGAAATGGGTAAATGGGGGTATTTAAATGGGAGGGGGAAAGAGAGGGTTATACAAGGAACAATGGAGGTAAAGGGGAAGAAAGAGATCAAGAGATGGGGGACCATAGGAGAGAGATACTATCAAGGGGTAAATGGGAAATGGGGGTGCTTTAACTGGGGAGGGAGTAGGAAGGGTTAGACAGGGAGAGAGAGAATAGAGATAAATAATGCCTAGCTGATGTAAAAAAAAAAAACAGAGGGAAATGTATTAGTCCAAAAATCTACTGAAAAATTGCACATACAATATCTACATGAGTCTGTGAGCATAGCTGAAGACTACACAACAAGAAACAGTGCCAGACAGGAGAAACCTTCCTTTGAGTTGTTGGCCAGCATAGTCCAAGAGACTCCCAAAATTACACAGGCCATTGCCACTGACCTTGATTGTCTCCCAGAACTTGAAGGTAAGACCCTATTGCCAAAGACAAGACATACTTCGGACACAGGACTTGGAGCAATGGAACTAGAACTGACCTGGAAGTCACCTCCCAGAAGGCTAGTTCTCATAGTTTTGGAGAGCACTATGAAAGCTGTTAAGAGGGAACAGCAATTGATGGTCCAACCCCAGCTTTAAGGCCTAATAGCTACAAAAATGACAGGACAGCAAACTACATTGGGGCAGTAGTGGCACTTTTATCTTGGGGATATTCAACAGCTACCTAATTAGATTTAGAGCCCACTCAATGGGAGGGAACTCATGTATGGTACTATAAACACAGCCAAATACACATGGCTGGAAAGGTCATAGATCTTAGAGAAAACACCAAGGCTGTCACATCCCTAAACAAATGTAATTTCTTACTATGTGCTAAATATGGAGCCTTACATTTACAGAGAAGTATGCCAGTCACCACTCATCAAAAAAGCTTCTTTTTTAAAATATTTTTTTAAAAAACGTATTGCCAGGCATGATGGCACACACCTTTAATCCCAGCACTCAGAAGACAGAGGCAGGTGGTTCTCTGTGAGTTCAAGGCCAGCCTGGTCTACATAATGTATTCCAGAACAGCTGGGGCCACAG